ATCCAGCCACCTCCTTCTCTGTCGTCCCCTTCTTCTCTTGCCCTCCATCTTTCCCAGCATTAGGCTCTTCTCCAGTGAGTCCTTCCTTCTCATCAGGTGGCTTCCGGGAGGTGCAATGAATACCAAAATGATAAGTACCAAACACATTTTCCCATAAGGAATAATGTAGTGAGACACAAGGGAGCTGACATCGACATGTTCTAGCTTGTGTGTCGAGTACCAAACAATGAGTACCAGGACAAATTTTTTGCATCAAAATGCGTTGAGTACCAAATTCAATGAGTGTCAAAGCAGTTGAGGACCAAGATACCACTGTACTCTAGGAACTACTAAGGAAGAGCTGTCTTCACCCTCTTTCGCTCACAGATGCTATCTGGGCTGAGTTGCCTCTTTTTTCCTGTGGAATGCAGCTCCTCCCTCCTGGGAATCCAGACTACATTCCATCACAGCAGCTTTCATTTTAAATAAAAATATATACAGTTGACTGGGATGGTACAAGACTCCTGGTGGTACAAGTAGCGGATTAGACTTATTCTCCAAGGCACCTGAAGGCAGAACAAGAAGCAACGGGTGGAAACTAATCAAGGAGAGAAGCAACCTGGAACTAAGGAGAAACTTCCTGACAGTGAGAACAATTCATCAGTGGAACAACCTGCCTCCAGAAGCGGTGAATGCTCCAACACTGGAAGTTTTTAAGAAGAGACTGGACAGCATTTTGTCTGAAATGGTATAGGGTTTCCTGCCTGAGCAGGGGGTTGGACTAGATGACCTCCAAAGTCCCATCCAACTTTACATCATCATCATCATCATCATCATCATCATCATCAATCATCATCATCATCATCATCATCATCATTATTATTATTATTATTATTATTATTATTATTATTATTATTATTATTATTATCTCCCACTACTGTAAACTTCTAAATATTTGTGATTAGCACTAACTGGAAGGAATGCAACAAATTGTGGTTATTTATTTTTATTGTTCAGATACAGCCAAATTGGAAATTTGGATCCTCCTATCAGTTTACTTCTCTTTCAAGGCTCTGTCTTTAGAGAAGAATTATCAACTCAAGTATGTTTCTGTTGCGTTTTTTTGCTTTGTTTTTTAACCAGCGAGTGAATTGCACGCTGGGTCAAATAACAAATAATGAAGTAATACTTTCAAATTTGGTCTTCCCTCATAACAAGGCATACTGAAAACCTTACTATTATATTAGAAACTCCCAAGATAGAAATATTGATTAAAAGCTGTACTAAAAGCAAGTAATGTCCCTAGCAACCATCTAGAACAGCTGCGATCAAATGGATTATTTTCTTAATACTATAAAAATAAATGGATTTCAGATTTGGAATTATTGGAACACAAGAGATAAGCCTTGGAGAAAAGACTGTTTTAACAAATAAGGGCAACAGTAAGACACAGTAAGTATAAAAAGAAAATAAAAGGAACAGATACTATTGTGGAATGAAAGACACTTTGATGTTTTCACTGCCACATCACCACAGAAGTGTGATCATCCCATCTGTACTTATCATACAAGAGTTGAATTCTGTCTTTTTTTCTTATTTTTTCGAAGCGATAGTTCTCAGCCAGATGATCTCTGCTGTCTCCACTGGAGTATCTTAGCAAGGGTGGAAACTCAGAGGCCGTCACTAAATCAGCAACATGAGACAGAGTTAATCTGGATGTTCTTTCCTTGAATTTTCTTGAGGGAAGCGGCATGACTAGCAGCAGCAGAGATCAGATCTGGACAAGGAGCACAAACTCTTCAACAGCTCTCATTAGGAACAGAAAAGAAGGTACGGAAAAGATGAGGTAGCTACGACCCTAATCTAAGGACCACGATGATGACTGAGAAGATACACAGGGTTGGGATGGTAGATGCCAGAACCAACAATCTCCCAACTTCGGAAGTTAACATGACTTCTACAGCATCTGAAAGCACTAGCTGCTTTTATGGCTACTCATAAATATCCTGCTCCGTCAGTTGAAAAGAATGACTAAACAAGATTTTCAAATTAGGACAGAACGTTTCTAAACTTCTGTCAGGTGCAAAGATCAAGAACATACATTAAGTTGCAGTTCAGAGATTTAATGCTCAAGCCTATACACAAGAAACTAGTCAACTAAAGTCCAACACTAAATTGGTGCCAGATAAGGGTCAACAGAGTTCAAGAGGGGTTGAATTTGGACCTTTTGTGGCAACATAATGACTCTAAGCTGATGACACATTTAACTCCACCCTCCAGCTCTGCTTGCTCTTTTTCCTACAACTTCCACTAAAATTGGAAGATATTATTGCTAATTTCTACTAAGTGTTACAGGGGTCCTCTTGAACCTCCATATTCAGGCCCCATCTCCACCACAAATGTCCAAATCTAATTAGAACCACTCTGTACCCCCTTTTCACAGATTTGGTGATTGTTAAGCATCTTTTTACAATAAGCATTTAAACTCCACTTCAAATTTTAGACACATCCCTTTGGTTAATCAGACGAAGAAAACTTTTTTTTGGGTCCACTTAAAATTGATTTGCTATAATTGCTCTTATCTCTCTAACATTACACGATCTCTTAGATGCAGTGTCTAACAAAAAGCAAAATTTAGGATAAATTTATGAAAGTGTTTTGAGGTTTTGAAGTTTTAGCAAGATTATTATTGTTAAATTACTGTACATGTTAAAGGCAGCTAGTTTGAATCACTAAAGCATGATGACTTATGTCTATAACAGGCAATGAACATACGCCATCACAAACTAATACAAGTACTGATTGACTTACTTTGTGACCACAAAGATTGATTATCTTTTTCCTATTAGAGAAAGGTACTTTATTAAAACAAGCAGGCAGGCAGGCAGTATGCAGAGCCCTGGGCACCAGCAGGTGCCAATCCATCTGATTATTTTACTGAAAGGCAATTTGTAAACAAACTCTGGGCTTTTTAATTAGAGAGTGAAGCAAACCGTCTAATCAACACCCAGTAATGACAGAATTATCACAGCCACACAAAAATCCCAGGATCTTTCTTTATTAAAGGCCACATTTTGAAACACTTCGATTCAAAGGCTTTCAGAGCAAGGAAACACATTACAGGTGGTCCTTGCTGAATGATCTTCGCTCAGCAAGTATCCTGTCAGGTGCAAACAACCAGAGTTTGAGCAAACTACTTTATTATGTTCTGCCTATACTACAGGAATCTTCCCAGTCTGGTAGCCTACTCTTGGGAACAATTAGATAACGCTCAAAAGAACTTGGGGAGGTGGGGGGTGGACTTAGCTCTTTGGCGGTTCTGTAGTGATTCCAGGCCACTCTCTGATTTGACGTACCAGCTAACCTTCTCTGTCTTCTTGCGCCCGCTTACAATTAGGTAAACCTAATTCTGGTTGTTAAGTTCTGGTTGTTGTTAGAAGACAGACACAGACTTCAACGGAGAGTTAGGACTGCAGAAAAAATGATGGCAACCAATCTGCCTTCCATCGAGGATCTGTATATTGACTGCACGGGTCAGAAAGAGGGCTGAAAAAATATCTACAGGTTCCTCGCATCCTCGACGTAAACCGTTTCAACTTCTCCCTTCAAGATGGCGCTATGGAGCACTGTACGCCAAAACTAACTAGACACAAGGACAGGTTTTTTTTCTCCAATGCCATCCTTTTGCTAAATAACTAATTCCCACCACACTGTCTTATGCCTTGGGATGTCCAGTCACCCTAGTAGGCCTGTATTACTTATTATCCTTCTCATCTTTCCTATTATCTATTTCCTTAGCTTCTTATGACTTTGTTGCTTGTATCTTTCGACTTATGTTGACTGCTTTTATTTGTATCCTATTATGAATTTATGTTGATTGCTTATTCAGTATCCTGTGACCATCACCGAGTGCTGTGTCTTATGATTTATGATGAATGTATTTTATGATGATTATGATCACGACCACGATTTATCACTTGCTGCTTGTACGTATACTAAGAGCTTCTGCACCGGGGACAAATTACTTGTGTGTCCGATCACACTTAGTCAATAAAGTATTCTATTCTATTCTGGTTGTTAGGCTCCTGGCTTAACAACCACAACTAGGCATACAGAAATTGCATCACTGAGCAATACGATCACGTGATTTTCAAGATCCAATAGGGATCAGTCACCGGAACTAGAAGTTTACTCTTCCGAGCTTTTGAACTTGTGCTGGAGCCCATCCTCAGGGAACTTCTCTCTACCGGAATGTGTACGTTGGGCTATTCTATGTGTAGTATTTATGTGATGCCTGGTGGGGTGTGTTTTTTTTATTGGTTGATTGGGGTGTCGGTGGTCAGTATTATTACATGATGTTTCAGCTAATGACCCTTTTACTTAGCGATCGAAATTCCAGTCCTGTTTAGCATTAAGTGAGAACTACTTGTATTTAAAATCAAACTATTAAAACAATAAAACCAAATTACATCCAATGTCAGCAAAGCAGTCCATATTGCATTCAAACTCATTGTTTTATAGATAAGATTGTATAGTGTTAATATACAAAATTAAGCTTCCAAGACCCACACATCACTAAGAAAGAATAAGTGCCCAGAAAGGGCAGCCAGGTAGGAACCAAAGACCAAAGAACATTCTCAGCAATTCGTAACTCAGACAAGGGTGACAATCGTTGTATAATTCAAAGTACCCAAAGCTGTATTTTAACACACCTACAGTCCACTGGAGCAGACAGCAAAACTGTAACCCAGCACTTAGCAACTGCTTTTGAGGAAAATAATGTCTACTCGGGATGATTCCCCACGACTACGTGAACTAAATATAGAGGCGGTAATTTCATAGTAAGCCATTTGGCTCCAAAGATTTAATAAATGATCCCCTCTAAAAAAGCACAAGTGGCATTTTGCACTGTTCAACTTTTGAAAAGGTTTCCCAGCGCTTTTTGCAAAGTATTTCAGCAAGGAGCAAACCCACATCAGAAAATCTACTTTGCCGAACTGTCAAGTCTTCGCACTACTCACCCCACTGGAGAGGCGCCAACTGTAGGTGATCCAGGACAACCTGATTCAGGATCCCTTCCACGCTTGCCTCCCCTTCACGCTTCATAGAGGGGTAAATGATAGTTAAGGAATATTGAAAAGAAACACACTGACACAGTCTTTCAGGGCAAATCTGTACAAAAAAAATTCAGCGGATGGAGATCAAAGTCAGAATTCAAGGTCCCACCACAATGAAGTTCCGTTCAAATATTTTCCTTTGGGATAGGAAAAAAGAAGCTACAGTAATTGGGAAATTTAGCCCACGCTGCTCCAAGATGTTACGGTCAGCGCTTGAACCAAAGAGCTTTAGGTAAGCTCTAAAGTGGTTTATTTGTAAACTGTAATTGTGGCCTAGCGCAGGGCTTTTCAACCAGTGGTACGGGTACCACCTGTGGTACACTGGTACCTGGCAGGTGGTACGCGACCATCCTAAAAAAGTGGTAGCGGGGAGGGGAATGAGCTGGACCGGTGGCAGCACCGCACAAGCCTGAGCGAGAGATGGCTGGAGCTGCAGGGCTGTCAGGGCTCAGCGGAAGCGCCAGGATCAATGCCGCTTTCCAGCTGATCGGCGCTTCTTCGGAGCTGTCAGCACTCAGTGGAAGCGCCAGGATCAGCGCCAGGCTCCAGCTGGAGCTCGGCGCTGATCCTGGTGCTTCTGCTGAGCCTTGAAGAAGCACCAATCAGCTGGAAAGCAGCACTGATCCTGGCGCTTCTGCTGAGCCCAGAAGAAGAGCCGATCCGCTGGAATGTTGCAGCCTCTCCAGGGTCTTGTGATTTACATTCAGATGCTTGGCAACTGATTCATATTTATGACGGTCACAGTGTCCAGGGGTCATGTGAAGTGACCAAAACCTGCTGCAACCACCCAGCAGACGGGGAGGGGGAATAAAAACCAAACACCCCCCATCCCACCCCCACTGCCAATCCTCAACAGAAATGCTCACAACAATGAAAACCTCGGACAGGAGGAAGAGCGCTGCCGGGTGGGCAGGCAGGTGTCTTGCTCGGCTGTGGCTTGGGGGGCATGTTTTTCAGTGCCATTGTAACTTCAAACAGTCACTAAGCGAACTGTTGTAAGTCGAGGACTACCTGTACTTCATCACTTTTTTCCTTTTTTTTTTTTTTTTTGGTCATCAGGTTTTTGACCCCTTGCTAGGTGACTGGTGGTACTCGGATATTGCCATATCCTAAAAGTGGTACAATGGGTGAAAAGGTTGAAAAGCCCTAGCCTAGCGTACTACCAGGTTTGATGTTTGCAGTAATTTGTTATTCCATACAGGGTGGCTTAGTTTGATAAGCAATCTTTGCCAAAGAGAAATCTGTATTCTGAGCCAAGTAATCTAGATATCACAGGAAGAGGCGAAACTACTCTACATCAAGAGTGTGATCACTATTATATCTTTACAATTACTGTATACTCAGGTCTTCCCCAAAATATGTGTTAGGCCTGTCATTCCTATGATAGAAGTTCCCGCTGGTAGAAACTTCCCAGATTTTTAAAATGTCCTGTAAGGTAGAAATAAATGAATCAATTGACTTTGCTTGTCAAAATATCGCAAAAGCTGATCGCATGAACCCGGGACATTGAAACTGTCATAAACACGAGTCAATTGCCAAGCATTTGAATATTGATCATGTGACCCTGGGGATGCTTCAACGGTTGTGTGAAAAGTGGTCGTTAAGACACTTTTTCCGATAACGTTGTACCTTCAAACGATTGCTGTTGTAGGTCGAGGACCACCTGTATTCACACTTATTATCAATAATTGTAGAAATGCTGAACTATATTAATTTAATGCCCCCCATCTTTATGGAAGTCGAAGAAGCTGGTGGTGAAATTTCATTTTTCCTTTCATGTAATTTCAACATAACCCTTATTTGCAGGCATCAATTAATTCCACTGCCTCTACTGTTTCTTAGCCCTTAATCACTTTGCTATGTAGTTTGACCTCTGGCATTTAATTAAGATGTTTCACTTGCGATTTCCCATAGGAATAAATACAGGTGAGCAAATGTCCTACTTTAGCACCAATAAATAAGAGCTTCACAAATAGAAACTATACTAACAAAAATGCTTGTAATGATTAATAGATATATCTATAATTAGAATAGAATAGAATAGAATAGAAAGAATAGAATAGAATATGGAAGGGACCTTGGAGGTCTTCTAGTCCAGCCCCTACTCAAGCAGAAGAATCCAGGGTTAGGGTTACATCACCATGAAGTTGGAGAGTAAAATGGACATTGCCAAAAAATTCAGAGTGCTTGGATATGGATAGGAGGGCACTGACTTTTCTAGGCTGCCCTATCTATGTTTCCTGATAAAATACATGGGAAAATCCCATTGGAGGAAAATTCCACTTAGGCTTAGGGTTAGGTCACCATGAACTCATAAAGCAAAATGGATATCGCCAACAAATTCGGAGTGCTTGGGATGGTTAGGAGGACACTGACTTTTCTAGCCTGCCCTATTTATGTTTCCTGATAAAATACATGGGAAAATCCCATTGGAGGAAAATCCCACTTAGGGTTAGGGTTAGGGCACCATGAACTCAGAGAGGAAATTGGACATCGCCAACAAATTCAGAGTGCTTGGGTATGGTTGGGAGGGCACTGACTTTTCTAGGCTGCCCTATCTATGTTTCCTGGTAAAATACATGGTAAAATCCCATTGGAGGAAAATTCCACTTAGGGCAGTGATGGTGAACCTTTTAGAGACCAAGTGCCCAAACTGCAACTCAAAACCCACTTATGTATCATCGGGTGCTGGGTGGGTGTGGCCCATTGGGTGCGCGTGGCTGCGGTGGTAATGGCAGACTGGGTGGGACTAAAAAGTTCAATCAACTCCAACTTTGCGAGATCTTTTTTTTTCCCCATGAGAAGTTGAAACTGATTGTTTGAACTTTTTTTTTGCACACAGTGGCGGAAGCCTAAAGCGAAAAGGTTTTATAAAACCCAGCTGAAAACTTAGGACTGGGGCGACGGCGCGCGTGCCCACAGAGGCCTCTGCGTTCAATGTTACAACGGCACTGAAAAAATGTGACTTATGACCATTTTCCAAAGTTACAGCCTTTGCAGAATCTCTATGATCACGTGATCAAAATTCAGATACTTGGCAACTGGTTCACATTTATGAACGTTGCTGGGTCCCAAGGCCACGTGATCCCCTTGTGCGACCTTCTGACAAGCAAAGTCAATGGGGAAGCCAGATTCACTTAACAACCGGGTTACGAACTGAACAACTGCCATGATTCACTTAACAGCTGTGGCAAGGACAGTCATAAAATGGGGCAAAGCTCCTTAACAAACTCCTTAAATTTTGGACTCAACTGTGGCCATAGTCAAGGACTACCTGTACTTGATTCCAACTGACTCTGGAAAGTTCACACAACGTATTTAAAAAAAAAAATACAAAACAAAATGAGATCCAGACACTGCGTATGTACAGAGCTAAACAAAAATGCCAAAGGAAATGGTCCCCTTGCTGAATTCATTTGTTTAGGCCAGTGGTTCTCAACCTTTTTAATGCCGCGACCCCCAACCAGTCGTAAGTCGAGGACTAAACCGGTTGTAAGTCGAGGACTAAACCGGTCGTAAGTCGAGGACTAAACCGGTCGTAAGTCGAGGACTACCCAACCAGTCGTAAGTCGAGGACTTTCCCTACCCGGGAGTGCCGTGCATGCGTGGTTCCGCCCCCTGCGCCGGCCGAGGCATAGCTGGCAAGCGGCAGAGACGGAACAGGCCGACCACCAGCTGGCCCAGCCCAAGGGAGATAAGGCACCCACCGGAAAAGGGGAAAAAAAATGGCGGACAGCCTTGCTTAGCGACCCCCGTGAAATGGTCGATCGACCCCAAATGGGGTCCCGACCCACAGGTTGAGAACCACTGGTTTAGGCTGGCTGATCACTATTTCTTCAGTATTGATATAATTTATTCATAGAGATTTCTGCTGCTATTATCCCGTAATAACCTTCCCATGTTTTTTCCTACCTAGTCCTTCCTTTGGGGTTTTGGTTTCTTTGTTTAGTAATTTTAGAGCTTCAAGAAAAAAACTGGAGGTATGAAATTCCAGGGACATTGTTTCATTGCTATTTAGAGACACGGTGTTTTGACAAGACTGGAGATGGCATATAATACTTGCTCCTCACTCGGCTATCATTAGAACATTTTTCACATTTTCAAAAATATAATGCGCTTTCGAGAATCGAGCTCCTAACGTAGGGCGATGAATTTAATTCCGCATGTCTAGACTAAATAATCACCAAACCACTTCATATAAAGTTTGATTATTACTAAATTTAACTTAACTTATTAATTTCAAATTAATAGCAGGGGCCTATTACTGATAATAAGAGTGAAAATAAGCAAGGAAAGTAAACATCGGTAAGATTAGTCAGAAAAGCACGGGTGTTCTCTAGATTTAGGTCGGGTGGAACTTAAGACAACTGAGAATAAATGGTGGTTCTTGCTTTGGCTGTGGGCAGTCCAGGTTCCTGCAGAGAGCTTGAGCACGCATGGAACATAGAACGTAGAATAACAGAATTGGGAGGGAGACCAGAGGTCTTCTAGTCCAGGGCTTTTCAACCTTTTCACCCATTGTGCCACTTTTAGGATATGGCAACATCCGAGTAACATCAGTCGCCTAGCAAAGTGTCAAAAACTTGATGACCAAAAAAAAAGAAAAAAAGTGATAAAGTACAGGTAGTCCTCGACTTACAACAGTTCGCTTAGTGACTGTTCGAAGTTACAATGGCACTGAAAAAAGTGCCCCCCAAGCCATAGCCGAGCAAGACACCTGCCTGCCCACCCGGCGGCGCTCTTCCTCCCGTCCGAGGTTTTCATTGTTGTGAGCATTTCTGTTGAGGATTGGCAGTGGGGGTGGGGTGGGGGGGTGTTTGGTTTTTATTCCCCCCGTCTGCTGGGAGGTTGCAGCAGGTTTTGGTCACTTCACATGACCCTGGGACACTGTGACCGTCATAAATATGAATCAGTTGTCAAGCATCTGAATGTAAATCACAAGACCCTGGAGAGGCTGCAACATTCCAGCTGATCGGCGCTTCTTCTGGGCTCAGCAGAAGCGCCAGGATCAGCGCCGAGCTCCAGCTGGAACTCGGCGCTGATCCTGGCGCTTCCACTGAGCCCTGTCAGCCCCGAAGAAGCACCAATCAGCTGGAGCCTGGTGCTGATCCTGGCGCTTCCGCTGAGCCCTGACAGCCCTGCAGCTCCAGCCGTCTCTCGCTCAGGCTTGTGCGGTGCAGCCACCGGTTCAGCTCATTCCCCTCCCCCACTACCACTTTTCTAGGATGGTCGCGTACCACCTGCCAGGTGCTAATGTACCACAGGTGGTACCCGTACCACTGGTTGAAAAGCCCTGTTCTACTCCAAACCCCTGCTCGAGCAGGAGACCCCATACCAGTGATGGCGTTTGAAAATCTCTGGTTCATGGGGTTTTGGGATTGGGATTGGAATTGGGGCGAGGCGGGGGTGGGTGAGGTGGGGTTGGGGACCGGTTGGGGCGGGACGGGTGGACGTCCCGGTGGGTGAGGGAGGTGCCGCATGGCGCCTAGCGGGTCCGTCGGGCCGTCGCGGTACCGTCGGTGCGGGAGACGGGCGTGGGGTGTCGATCAACTGCGTACGATGGGGCGCAAGGGCAGAGTCTTTGCCCGGCTGCCATGTCCTTGGCTGCGCTGCTCCACGTGGGCTGCGCTCGGGGCTCTCCTCCAGGGGGGTTGCTGGTGAGGAGGGGGCTGTGGGGGGAGGTGGGGCTGGGGTGACAGCACACGTTCCCACAGAGAGGGCTCTGAGTGCCACCTCTGGCACGCGTGCCATAGGTTTGCCACCACTGCCCCATACCATTTCAGACAAATAGTTATCCAGTCTCTTCTTGCAAGCCTTCAGTGATGGAGCACCCACAACTTCTGAAGGCAAAATGTTCCATTTTAATTGCAATAAACCCATCTTGCTTCCTGATTATTGCGCCTGACACCAGCAATGTCTAACGGGGGGGGGGGGGATTTCAGGAGCTTATGGCATTCTTCTCTAGATATATTTAAAAATACATGAAAAACAGAAAAAGAGCTTCCCCCCCCAATCCACATCGGACGTTTTTCTAAATTGTGAATTTTCATTTTTGCATCCGAGTACAAGTCCTCTTTTTCTCTTTCAAAATTCCAGCCAAATTCCTTACCAAAATTGCCCTTTTCGGTTGGAAACCTACTCCAAATGGAGCACTAAAATCTGAAGTACCTTATTAAATATTTAGAAAATATTAATCAAATGAAAGGGCTGAGCAATAGTAACCAGTCTAAAAATTGTCTGCCATCTGCTCCAACGCTGAATAGCAGAAACAACATTCTGTTGCGCAGACAAGAGCAGATGCCATTAGCACATGCTACATTAAGATGTAGGAAGCTTTCCAATATTGGAATTTGAATAGTTGGGGGGAAAAACACACACAAAATTGCTAGAGGTTCTTATTTAAATAAGGAATTTTTTTTTTAAAAAATGTATTATTAGAAACCTAAAAAAGATACTCTATGTGAAGGAGAATCTGTATGTTCCAATATATATAGTGTTTTATAATAAGAAGCTGGGCAGAAGCCCATCCTAACTATGATCTGTTTGTCTTACACACGTCAGGTAACGATGTAATGTAATATAAGCACTGGTGGGATTCAAATATGTGAACAACCAGTTCTCTGTGTGGATGCTGCTTCCAGAAGTCCATTCTGGGCCTGGGCAACAAAAAATTAGCTACCGGTTCTGCCTAACGGGCGCAAACCGGCTGGATCCCACCACTGAATATAAGGTGGATGATGCAATGACTCAGCAGGGTCTGTGTCTCTTTAAGAGCAGGCAGGGTCTGTATCCCTTTAAGAGCCTTAGTCTAAAAGGGAAGGCTTTGCTGGAGTGTTTCTCTCTCGTCCGTTTCCTGCTGTAACTGCTGTGTGTTGGATTTTGCTGTATTACCACTTGTGTGTATCTTGTTCCTGGTGTATGATATTGTAGATAGTGTAATATAAACCACCATTTAATATAGACCACTGTTTACTGTGTTTACTCCTGGGTTATCTCAGCGCAATAAGACTGTGCATGCTCTGAGAACACACAAAAATGATTCCTACTCATTTGATATCAGGGCCATGGACAAAATAGGACTGCAAAGGGACTCCAACCAGTTTGTCCATTCTTTCTACCTAAGCCAATTTTCGCTCACCAATTTCTGCTCCAAGGGTTCAAAATAATAGTCAATTTGTAAGAGCAGAAATGGGTGAGCAGCCAGATAAATGTTACATGAACCTTCTCCTTCAGAACTTAAAACCATTCATTACCTGAGCAGTAGCTAAATTTTGTTTTGCTGCGATGAAAGCAAACTATAATTGGTTAAAGGCATATTTATCTTAGTTTTAAATATTATTTTTGGTTTGATACACCTAAACTAATAATAATTTGATCCAGAATTGAAGAAGCTTCTTGGATGAGAAGCAAAATGTTTTTAAAAAAGGAAAAAAACCAAGAAAGCCCAGTTGCCTTTTGGAAAAAGCAAGGAAGGACAAGAAGCCACGGATGGAAACTAATCAAAGAGAGAAGCAACCTAGAACCAAGGAGAAATTTCCTGAACAGTGAGAATAATTAATCAGTGGAACACCCTGCCTCCAGAAGCGGTGAATGCTGCAACACTGGAAGTTTTTAAGAAGAAATTGGACAACTATTTGACTGAAATGATATAGGGCAGGGGTAGGGAACTTTGGTTCTTTTATGACTTGTGGACTTCAAGTCCCAGAATTCCTGAGTCAGCATGGCTAGTTCAGGAATTCTGGGTATTGAAGTCCACAAGTCATAAAAGAGCCAAGGTTCCCTACCCCTGGTATAGAGTTGCTTGCCTGAGCAGGCAGTTAGACTAGGACCTCCAAGATTCTTTCCAACTCTGTTATTCTGTTATTCTGACTCCTGATTTCCTGCACTTGGCTCTGTACTTTCCATTAAAAGTTACATCTGCCACTTTCAATGCCTCTGGGGTCAGAGCAAAAATATTTCTAGCATCTCTCTAACCATATTTCTTCTCCTTATATCCAATGGATTGCAGTCAGGAGTCAGATTCTATTTTCTTACTGATATTCTCAAAGGGAATATCTTGGAAGGTTCTGAGTTATAAAAATATACACTACAGTTCTTCATTATTTAAAACACGAAAGCTGTGTAGAGCGCTCAACTGAATGAAAAAAAAGGCTTTAAAAGAAGCCTAGAGAGAAATGAAAATGTTCATTATAATTAGTTTAAAAGCCTGTGATTGTGTGAAATGCTCCACTTTAAACCACGTCTTTTTCATCCGTGTCCCTAGAAACGAATCAAAGATCGTAGTCCTGCTGGAGAATTTCTGAAAAAAAGGATATAATTTTCCAGACAATGTCTAACTTGCTGTTGATCTCCAGGCTTTTTGCTTGCTTCCTCTCTTCTTCCAGCTGCTTTGGATTTGTATATTGTGCTCTTTCACCAGGTGAGTTTGGGTAACTTTCAAAGTTGAACTTGTCCACTTGGATAGCCATGCTACAATGGAAAAGAGAAATAATTTACTGGCAAACTTTTATGGAACATTTTGTGGATCACACGGCCAATATGCACCACCTCAGTTAAATAACAGGAAACAACAACAACAAGAATAACAACAACAACAACAACAACAACAATAATAATAATAATAATAAAGTTGGAAGGGACCTTGGAGGTCATCTAGTCCAACCCCGTTCAAGCAGGAAACCCTATACCATTTTGGACAAATGGCTGTCCAGTCTCTTCTTAAAAACTTTCAGCGTTGGAGCATTCACCGCTTCTGGAGGCAGGTTGTTCCACTGGTTAATTGTTCTAACTGTCAGGAAGTTTCTCCTTAGTTCTAGGTTGCTTCTCTCCTTGATTTAGTTTCCATCCGTTGCTTCTTGTCCTGCCTTCAGGCGCTTTGGAGAATAGCTTGACTCCCTCTTCTTTGTGGCAGCCCCTGAGATACTGGAACTCTGCTATCATGTCCCCCCTCGTCCTTCTCTTCATTAAACTAGACATACCCAATTCCAGCAACCATTCCTTATATGTTTTAGCCTCCAGTCCCCTAATCATCTTTGTTGCTCTTCTCTGTACTCTTTCTAGAGTCTCAGCATCTTTTTTACATCGTGGTGACTAAAACTGGATGCAGTATTCCAAGTGTGGCCTTACCAAGGCATTGTAAAGTGGTATTAAAACTTCACGTGATCTTGATTCTGTCCCTCTGTTAATGCAGCCAACACTGTGTTGGCTTTTTTGCAGCTGCAGCACACGGCTGGCTCATATTTAAGTGATTGTCCACTAGGACTCCGAGATCCCTCTCACAGTTGCTACTATTGAGCAAGGTACCCCCTATACTATACTTGTACATTTGGCTTTTCTTGCGTAAAGGATGAAAGGTACTCCTCGACGTATGACTGTAAATGACTGCAATTTTGGTCATATTATTAAGCGAGTCATTATGTGACCGCATCTGATTTTACAATCTTTTTTATGGTGAGCCAATCTCCTCAGAGCCTCCCTCATCCCTTCCCGTGTTCTTTACCTAGGATTCCCTCCACTTCCCACTTAATGACCCATGCATCTGGACTTACGACTGCAAATGCCAGGATTTCCATCGCTAAGCAATATGGTCACATGATGTCATGCTTTATGAACACATCACTTAGATGCAGAAAGTCCAGTCCCAGTTGGGACTGTTAAGTCGAGGACTGCAGTAAAGTGAAGAAGGGCAGAAAAGGGAAAAGCACAAAGGAGGATTTTGCTGTAATACACAGTCTTCCCTCAATACCGTCATTTGTTTTATCCAGGAGTATCTGAAATTGAAGGGTTGGATTATAGACCAATTCATAACTCTTTATCACTGAGGAACCCATCTAGATTTTAAAGCAATTATCTAATAATTCTGCCTGATAAAGTGGCACAGGGCACTTCCTCGCAGACATTTTTGTAGCATTCATAAAGGACACCTCCAATAATTTCCTAGCTTGATAATATAAAGTTTATTGGATAGGATTGAAAAGATCAGATAGTAATTGCCCTCATCTGTCATAATCTCCAAGGTGGCAGCCAAGACATTATTGCAACGCCAGTGAAAATGTACAAGAACCTGACAAACAATCTACTTGTATACTTTCTCAAAATGAAGTGTCCTGCTAGGCTTCTGAAAAGTTTGATGGTGTCTTTCCCCAGTTCCTCACCTTACTGTCAGAGCAAATTACACATGGACATGTAAAGGACTTATAAAAAAAAATAAGGCTATATAAGTTCCACAGAATAGCTCATGAAGGTAGTATTTCCAAGGGGGATATTTTGATCAAGATAATTTAAGTTTTATTTATGACAACCCAAAGCCAGCCTTTAAAATAGAAACTAAAAGAAAAAAATCTTAAATCAGAATAAACACAAATAGGCATATGGAGCAATCCATTTTAAATGTTAAACTGTACAACGGATCGTCGGCAGAAGCTTTAATTTAGAAAAAAAAAACATTTTAGAGATTAAAATCTGAACTAAGGCTACAAATAAGAGTTAGTCCTTCACTTACAGTCAAGTTGGAACTCCAGCTTCCCTCGCTAACTGATGTGAATTGTTAAGTAAATTGTACCTTATTTTACAACCTTTTATCCAAAGATTGTTCATCGAATCACACGGTCATTAAACGAATCTGGCTTCCCCCACTAACTTTGCTTGTTAGAAGCCCCTCCCCCCTGGAAGGTTACAAATGGCAATCAAGTGGCCCTGGGATGCTGCGATTGATATAAATACAACAACAACAACAACAACAACAACAACAACAACAACAACAATAATAATAATAATAAAAAGTTGGAAGGGACCTTGAAGGTCATCTAGTCCAACCCCCTGCTTAGGCAGGAAACCCTATACCATTTCAGACAAATGGCTGTCCAGTCTCTTCTTAAAAACTTCCACTGTTGGAGCATTCACAGCTTCTGGAGGCAGGTTGTTCCACTGGTTAATTGTTCTAATTGTCAGGAAGTTTCTCCTTAGTTCTAGGTTGCTTCTCTCTTTGGTTAGTTTCCATCCGTTGCTTCTTGTCCTGCCTTCAGGTGCCTTGGAGAATAGCTTGACTCCCTCTTCTTTGGGGCAGCCCGAGATATTGGAACTCTGCTATCATGTCCCCCCTCGTCCCTCTCTTCATTAAACTAGACATCCCCAATTCCAGCAAACGTTCCTTATATGTTTTAGCCTCCAGACCTCTAATCATCTTTGTTGCTCTTCTCTGTACTCTTTCTAGAGTCTCAACATCTTTTTTACATCGTGGTGACCAAAACTGGATGCCGTATTCCAAGTGTGGCCTTACCAAGGCCTTGTAAGGTGGTATTAATACTTCACATGATCTTGATTCTTTCCCTCTGTGGATGCAGCCTAGCACTGTGTTGGCCTTTTTGGCAGCTGCAGCACACGGCTGGTTCATATTTAAGTGATTGTCCACTAGGACTCCTAGATCCCTCTCGCAGTTACTACTATTGAGCAAGTTACCCCCTATACTATACCTGTACATTTGGTTTTTCTTGCCTAAATGTAGAACCTTACTTTTTTCACCATTGAATTTCATTTTGTTAACATGCCAGTTATCAAACACCCACATTTTGATCAAATGACCCCAGGGATGCTGCAATAGTCGTAAGTCTGGGGATCAGTCCTAAATTACTTTTTTCAGCACCATCGGTAACTTCAAACAATCGTCGCACGAGTGGTTGTAAACTGAGGACAGCCTATAGTGGAGCTAAAGTTTTTGCTTGACGAATTGTAATGGTTACAAGTATTCATTTGTATTCCTGCTGATTAACACCTCTCGAATCCCCCTAAGCACTTTTCATCTGCTGATGAAGATAATATTTAATAAAGGGCGATGCTTTATTGTCCCAATCATTCAGTCTCAAGCAGTCACCGTTCCTGGTTTAAGAGCACGCAAAGGAAAGATTTCATTTATCCTGTTGCTGATTAATTTGGGGGTGATTTACTGCTGCGTAGGATTCCTCTTGCTCCAGCACTTCTAATAATGGCATTTCAGAGGCCTGCCGAAGTGTAAAACCTGGAATTTTTTGGATTTAAGTAACATATCATTGTTTCTTTTTAAAGAATGCCTAGAATTGATTGGGTCTGTCACCTTGCTGAAAAGATCACAAGACTGTGTTATTTGTTTCATCTTGAAGAGCTACATACCCCTTGTGAAAGACAGCAGATATATAGCACATTCTTTAGACTGCATTTCAATTATTGGATAAATGAGCAGTGACTTGACTCAAAAGTAACATTCTCCTCTGGCTGCTATAGAGCAGGAATTTTCAACCTTTTCACCCATTGTGCCACTTTTAGGATATGGCAACATCCGAGTACCACCAGGCGCCTAGCAAGGTGTCAAAAACTTGAGGACCAAAAAAAAAAGGAGAAAAGTGATAAAGTACAGGTAGTCCTCGACTTACAACAGTTCGCTTAGTGACTGTTTGAAGTTACAGTGGCACTGAAAAAAGTGCCCCCCAAGCCACAGCCGAGCAAGACACCTGCCTGCCTACCCAGCGGTGCTCTTCCTCCTGTCCGAGGTTTTCATTGTTGTGAGCATTTCTGTTGAGGATTGGCAGCGGGGATGGGGTGGGGGGTATTTGGTTCTTATTCCCCCCGTCTGCTGGGTGGTTGCAGCAGCAGGTTTTGGTCACTTCACATGACCCTGGGACACTGACGGTCATAAATATGAATCAGTTGCCAAGCATCTGAATGTAAATCACAAGACCCTGGAGATGCTGCAACATTCCAGCTGATCGGTGCTTCTTCTGGGCTCAGCAGAAGCACCAGGATCAGCGCTGAGCTCCAGCTGGAGCCTGGTGCTGATCCTGGCGCTTCCACTGAACCCTGACAGCCCCGAAGAAGCGCCGATCAGCTGGAAAGCGGCACTGCTCCTGGCGCTTCCGCTGAGCCCTGACAGCCCTGCAGCTCCAGCCGTCTCTCGCTCAGGCTTGTGCGGTGCTGCCACCGGTTCAGCTCATTCCCCTCCCCCGCTACCACTTTTCTAAGATGACCGCGTAGCACCTGCCAAGTGCCAATGTACCACAGGTGGTGCCCGTACCACTGGTTGAAAAGCCCTGCTATAGAGCTTTCCGTGACATTTTTCCTTCTGTTATCAGTGAAGGCCTTCCAATCTGTCTACTTGTCGTTGGGTCTGGAAAGATGGTACAGGTAATCTCTGTCCTGCCCGTCCCCAGGACTACTTTAAGTGTACAGGTGGCATAAATGTAACCTTTCTATTTCTTATTTGATTTCTCTATAAGAGGTGAACCAGGCTCAGCTTCAGAGCTTTATCTTCAGCACAAGAGAAAAGTTTGCTCATATGGTTTTTCCCACTTAAACGGGGAAATAAAATACAATGCTTTATGCTACTACTCGTGAAGTGTTAATCCCACTTTACAACGCCTTGGTAAGGCCACACTTGGAATACTGCATCCAGTTTTGGTCACCACGATGTAAAAAAGATGTTGAGACTCTAGAAAGAGTAC